CCCCCCCCCCCAACCTATCCAACAAGCAAATCATCAAACCACGTCAATTCAGGCCATCGTCAATTTACGCCATCTTCCTCGCCCTCTTTTCAGCCCATGCCCTGCCCGCCCGTCGGTCCCTCTCAGCGGCTTCTTCTCTTGCACGTTTGGCAACAACCTCACGCGCCTTTCTCTCCTTCTCGATGTCATTAGGTGATTTGAGACCTCGGGAGAAGATCGCCTTTGCACGTGGGCATTCAATCTGCACATTGGATGCTGAGAACAGGCGTTTCATGTCGAGGCCACACAGAGAATGACTGCTGGATGTAGATGAGCATTTGCGTTCAGTCGAGCATTTGCGTTCAGTCGAGCATTTGCGTTCAGTCGAGCATTTGCGTTCAGTCGAGCATTTGCGTTCAGTCGAGCATTTGCGTTCAGTCGAGCATCTGCGTTCAGCAGAGCATATGCGTTCAGTAGAGCTTCTGCGTTCGACCGCTGCAGGAGCGCCTTGTGCATGTGGGGCCGATATATTCGCCATGTTGGGGTGTGAGCCAGATGGACAACGTGCGTCAGCATTGGATCCTCTCTTGGCAATTGTTAAGCTGCCTGCTTGAACGTTCTCATTGCCGGCCTTGTTTTGTCGTGCCAGACTCGCAACAGTGTGGCGAGGAACGATGGAAGGCACTGCATTCTTCCGAAATGGTTTTGCCTTGAATTCCCGTTTCTGACGTTGCCGTTCCTCCTCTAGCCGAGCTCTAAGACGTGATTCGATAGCCTCTTTGTTCTTCTGGGAGCGTGCGTCGCCCGGAAGTTCAAAGACGATGGGCTTCGTGAGGGGTTTTGTCGACTTAACTTTGGGCACAACGGCACGAGCAGTTTGAGTAACTTCTGCGCTAGACCGGCGCTGAGGTAGACGAGTATCCCGTTGCTCCTTAAGCTGCTTCAGCTTTCGAGCTACCGCCTCTCCAGGAAGCTCAATGTGGGTGGGACGCGTGACTGGTTTTGTCGATTTGACGACTTGCTTTGGTGGCAGTAAACTTGCTAGGTGTTTGATAGATGTTTTGCGTTGAGGTTGTTCCAGCGACTGCTTGTCGGTTGGGCTGGACTTGGCTTGAATAAGGTTGGAGCATCCAATATCTGCTGGTGAGACAGACGCTGCAACGAGGTCATATTGTTCCATGAGAGGCTCATGGTGTATAATGTCTGCTGGAGAGGCAGACTCGGCAACAAGGCTGGATTGATCTATGTGCCCAGATTGTTGTATGAGGCCGGATTGTTCTATGGACCCGGATTGTTCCATGAAAAGTTCATGGTGTCTAATGTCTGTTGATGAGACAGACGTGGCGGCTGGCGAGGCAGACATAGCGGCGAGGCCGGGTTGTTCTATGAGGCCGGGTTGTTCTATGAACCCGGATTGTTCCACGAAAAGCTCATGGTGTCTAGTGTCTGCTGGTGAGGCAGATGTAGCAACAAGGCTGGATTGATCTATGTGTCCAGATTGTTGTATGAGGCCGGATTGTTCTATGAACCCGGATTGTTCCATGACAAGTTCATGGTGTCTAATGTCTGTTGATGAGACAGACGTGGCGGCGAGGCCGCATTGTTTTCCAAGGCCGGAGGGTACTATAGACCCGGATTGTCCCATGAGAGGGTCATGGTGTCTAATGTCTGCGGGTGAGGCAGACGTGGCGGCGAGGCCGCATTCTATAAGGCCGGAGGGTTCTATGGACCCGGATTGTCCCATGAGAGGGTCATGGTGTCTAATGTCTGCTGGCGAGGCAGACGTGGCGGCGAGGCCGCATTCTATGAGGTCGGAGGGTTCTATAAACCCGGACTGTCCCATGAGAGGGTCATGGTGTCTAATGTCTGCTGGTGAGGCAGACGTGGCGGCGAGGCCAGATGGTTCTATGAGGTTGGATTGTTCTATGAGAATTTGATGATGTCTAATGTCTGCTGGCGAGGCAGACGTGTCGGCGAGGCCAGATGGTTCTATGAGGTTGGATTGTTCTATGAGAATTTGATGATGTCTAATGTCTGCTGGCGAGGCAGACGTGGCGGCGAGGCCGCATTGTTCTATGAACCCGGAGGGTTCCATGAGAAGTTCGTGTCTAATGTCTACTGCTGAGGCAGACGCGGCGGCGGCGAGGCCGGGTGGTTCTATGACAAGGTCATGGTGTTTAATATTTGCCGGTAAGGCAGGCACGGCAGCAATGAGGCCAGGTTGTTCTGTGACAAGGCCAACATAGTCACTGTCTGCTGGCGAGGAAGGCGCGGAGACGATATCAGAGTATCCAGCGTCTGTTGCTGACGCAGAAGCCGTGGCGGGGTCGGACTGTTCAGTCCCGAAGTCAGAATAGCCAGCTTCAGTTGGCGAGGAGGGAACCGTAATGAGTTCAGAACCGCCATCACCGTAGTCGGGGGATTTAGCGACAACGAGGTCAGAATGTTCTGTGTTAATGCCGGAAAGTTTGGCAACAACAGGGCCAGAGAGCCCGGTAGTAATGATAGAGAGTCCAGCAATTTTGTTCGTGACGACAGGGTCAGAGTGGTTAAGGGCGATGCCGGAGTGTTCAAGGTCGACGATGCCCGAGTTTTCAACAGAGTTCTCGGAAATGGTGCTAAGGTCACCCATGACGCGGCGATGATTTTTCATGACGATGTTGACATTTTCGTTGTGGTTTTTGGCCTTGCTGCCTTTCTTGCCACGCCCAAGAGCTTCTCTGTAAGCTGCCTTGAGCTCCTTCATTTCTGCGTCGAAAGCAGCATCGGCCTTGGAAGGAACTGAATGCATTCCATTAGGCAAGTCGGTAAGTGGTAGTCTTCCGGACGGGCCAGCGTATGCTGGGCCTCGGTGGGATGGACCAGCGTAGGATGGGCCAGTGTATGCTGGGCCGTGGTGAGCTGGGACTTGGTGGGATGGACCAGCGTAGGACGATGGGCTAGCGTATGCTGGGCCCGAGAAGTATGGACCACAGTACTGTGGACGGTTCAGTGAGAGACCTCTGAGGCCTTGGCAGTAGATGCGGGGGAGCATGGCTGGGTAAGCGCCAGTATTGTTGAAGCCCAAGGGCGGAGGGAGTCTTGGGTATGAGCCGTCGAGTGGGCTTGAGAACGCGCTCGCGATGAGGGTTCCGAAGGGCCCAGCGAAGGGGCCTGCGTAAGGGAGGCTTGGGCGCGGGGCCGGTGTGAAGTAGGCTGTAGCAGCCTGCTCACGGGTGAAGGTCATCTTGGTGACGGGTGCTGAAGCCATTTGTATTGAGTTGATGGCGGTGATATGTGTCGTGTGTGCGAGGATGATGTGATGGAGAGGAGGAGAGTACACGGTGTGCGAGATGGATTTGGGAGTTGTGTGTTTGGTTTTGAGTTTGGATTGATTGTGCTTGAAGGCTCGAACAAGTGGCAATGCAATGAAGCGAAGCTTGATGGATGTGCGAAGTTGGAGATGGTTTTGTGTGATTGTGAATAGTGGGACAAGAAGCTGGGAAGAGGTGGGGGAATGGGCAGTTTAAGTGTTTGGCAAGCAGCTATTTCGTTCCTTCCTTCATTGTCCATTCTGATCATCTGAGCAGCCCATCAAGGTCTACCAATGTTTTGATGTCCAGACCTCTGAAGGTCTAGGCCTCTGAAGACTGTAAACTTTAAAGTTTGCGTGACCTCCTTGTTGTGGGCGCTCCTTCCTTGCTGGGCGTGGAAAAGACTCCGGCGGGGTTGAGGAGGGAAAATATATAGAGAGGGGGGTCTTTCAGATGAGATAGTAATTAGACTGGGTAGATAGATATAGAAAAGTGAAATCAAGAGCAGGAAACAAATGCAGAGAATGCAGAAATAGAGATCTGAGAGCTTGATTTACTTAGAACTCTCTCGATATATCAAAACGACTTGAAAGGGGGTTGATTTTCGGTTGTTCGGTAAGCAACTCCTTTCCAATGATGTACCATCACAACTCTCTTGACCTCAGAAATATGAAGACGATTCTAACATAGAACCAATAGAGAACGTAAATTAAAGTACCTAGTTACCTACCTTTCAAGCAATAGTCTCGAAAAAGGTAGTATGAATCCCTTGGCCTCGGGTTAGCAATCGTAGATTCAATTTAGCCAGAATTGATGGAAACGAACGCAGTTATTATAAACTTAAGGGGCTTAAACGAGGACTTATCTCTCCGATTTCATTATTTCATACGTGAGCATTACATTTGTCCCAGGGGTATCAACTTTTGGGCCAGCGTATAGCAAAAATCCCCCTCCAACGCCATCCAATGCTCCAGCCTGTTCATAATTCACTTCCAAGTCATGCAAGAGGTCTTCGCCAACACATCACTCCCCATTATTTCCGGCCCCAGAACTTGTCTGTTGCTGAAGCATCGGCGCGTGCTCCGTCGGTATCCGCACGAGAGTCTGCGGTAATGGAACCTCTGTTTCGGACTTCTCTTGCGTATCTTCGCTCTCTTCTGCATCTTTTGGCTTGGGGATTTTCACTGGTCTCCGATTAGCCCGCGCCGTTGCTAAACTCGTGCGCAACTGAGACTTACTGGAGGCCATGCTAATTGCGCGCAGCACGGTATGCCAATTGCTTAACACCGTCGCGACAGCTGTGAATAGATATAATCAGGCACAGTCCCCCCATTCGATTTAACAGCCATGACGTACCTTCTGTTCCGTCCGATAGTGTAGCCAGCTTTTCTTCAAGCATCTGCATCTGCCCCGCCAACCCCGCGCTCAGATCCCGCAACTGCTTTAGATTTTCCAGCTCGGCCTTCTTCTCATTAATCCGCGCAAGGAGTATCGGCGATTGCCCTGAGCTCGACGTTAAATTTCCCGATGTCGTGGAGTTTTGTCGTAGATGGGACGCGAGGGGTCTTGACGAGTACGACATGGCAGAATCTGTGGGCAGGTTCGGATTTTACTAGAGAATTTTAAATTTTGTCAATTTCTGGTCCTCCTTGAAGAGTTTCGTAGAAGTGCTGTCTGATTGGGCTGGAATTTCGTAAGTGATGTTGGAGGGGAACGTCGTTACGCGGTTGTCGATAGCCAAATTAGGTTGGCGCTAGTTTCCGGCGCTTGGCTTGATTTGGAGTAAAGTAAACAAACCGAAATTCTTTGTTATCAAGGATCTGGTCATGAATGTTGTTCAACCTCACAATTTCTGATGCTACTCGCTGCGATTCATATTCATTCCCGTTGGATCCTGCCCAGTTTCTTGAATTTTGGAGCATAAAAGTGATCAGTGCTGCCTTTGCCGCATGCCCACCCTAAAATGGCACGCCTGAATGAGTCCGCAGCAGCGTCGACAGAGAGCATAGAGACTCGTGAGCCCCAAACACATCATCTCCTAGACCTGTCGCTGATAAGTTACAGTCAAGCGCAAGTTTATGCGTCAGAACCGCGATATTGCTCGAGCAAATTCCACACAGTCACTCCGTATTCGAAGCCTAGAGAATGAGACATCGAGGTTACTGGCCGAAAACCTTGGGCTCAGGGAGCAGATCCTACGACTCCAGAGCGAATTAGAGAATGGCAAAGCACAACGAATAGCAGATAATGCTCGCGCCACCAAGTCACAACTCGAAGAAAAGCTGCTGGAGCTCGGCGCATTAATCAACAGCCTTGGAGACGAGCAAGTACGAAAGGAGAACTCGCCGCAGATTGGAAAGGTAGCCAGGACCAGTCCCGATCGAAGTCCAAATCAAAGGGACTGGAGAAATATGTGCACACTGAGCGAAGCTGTTGCAGCACAGGAAGGGAGATTGCCACCGATTTTGGAGAATAAGTTATACCCCAGGAGGACTCTTGAGTGAGTGCACTCTCTCTTTGGCCCCTAGAGATGCGATACTGACAAATGGTAGACGGCAAGAAATAGCAGATATTATCTCAGATGCGGCCGCAGATACAACCGATTCGCCTGAGATTGGACCTCCGCCAATCTCACAATTTGTTGATCTGGATCCCGTCAAGATTGACCTAGCCTTTAGGCCACGTAAGCTGGATAATGAAGAGCTCGTGGGCCTCAGTCCCGCCCTTTCGGTAAACCTTGAGCAAAGGAAGAAACGCAGGGACAGCCTTGGTGGCCCAGAGTCGAAGAAAGTCAGCAAAGTTGAACCAATACAGGATAATTATGAAAGCGCGGGTTCACTGAAGGCTGGAGCGAAGCGAAAATTCAGTGTCAGGGACGATGAAGAACGTGAAGTTGATGCTAAACAGGCCGATGTCTCTCCGGACGAATTCAAGTTTACACGGGTGGCCAGCGAGGAGAGGTCAAGGAATAAAGCAGCACCGTCTCAGCCCGAGAAGTCCGGCAACAAAGTAACGAGAGAAGTTGCAATTGCAAAGGGAGCACCTGAAGACAAACAATCTACTGCACCCATAAGCAGGAAGGTTCTGGCCCCGAAAAGTGTCAACAATTCCCCGAGGAAGAGCTCGAGGGTGATGATGAGCGACGATATCAAAGCCTCGAAAGTCGATGCTGCCAAGGCGAACTTTGCGAAAGAAAGGCCACGGGAGCGAAGAGAAGAAACAGCATCGATCAAAGCCCCTGCGGAGCCCATCATCGAAACAGCCGAAGTTCAGGTTGAGCCGGAAACACCAGCCGGGTTAGATATCATTTCCCCATCTTCATCACAACCATCGACTGCTCGCGCGGAGTCTCGCGATACCCCACCACCGTCAGATCTGGGGTCAGGCACTGAGAGCCAACGTCCTAGTCGAAGAGCCCGGGGAAGCGTCAGCTATGCGGAGCCCAACCTACGAGACAAGATGCGGCGACCAACGAAGGAGTTGGTTGATGCCGTGATCATCGATGCCAAACCACATCGCATGAGCGCGGTCAAGCTCGAGGGTGAAAGTGCTTCAAAGGCAGTCAAGGTCAAACCGGAGCCTGAGACAGACGATGAATGGAAAAGGATGCCACTTGCTTCATCATCAACAGTAGAAAATAGTCCCCTGAGCGGAAAAGCATCAACTGCGGGTGAATTACCTAGTAGCATCACAACCCACCGAAAACGACGAGAATCGATTCTCCATCAAGCGGAGACGGAACTCTCTCCTTCCGAATCTGGCAGTGTCATTGCAGCCCTCGTAGCTGACAGGAGAAAGGCCAAAGCCGAGGCCAAGGAGAAAGAACTTCGGGGCAAAGACTCAACAGCAAAGTCTGCTGAAAACCCTAACACATACGAATCCAAAGATCCTTCGCCGGCCCCTGCAGAGGAGGTCCCAGCTAAGGAGGTTCCAACCAAGAGAAAGGGGGAAATGCGAACCTCGAGAGTCTCGAGACGTCACACTTCCGTACCACGAGATCTAGCACACGGGGATGATAGTGAAGCTTCTGACATCGAAGCTTCAAAGAAGGGGCGCCGACAGCCAACACTTGGTTCGAGAAGCTCCACTGCGAGGACAGAGGCGGGAAAAGAGGGGGATGGGGCAAAGACTTTGAAGAAAGCTACGAGTGCCGCTTCTATAACAGAGGCGGAAGCCACTGGCTCTAGGAGAGAGAGGATTGCCGAACGGCGAAGGAGCATGATGTTATGAACGATATGATAATTTATAAACATTCTGGGACTGGGGGTTTGGATGGGCGTGTCTTTGGATGAGCGATTCTTTTGCTGAGCGATTCGGACTGTATATTCTTTGGTGGGAGGAGCTATTTTTGTAATGAGTTCGTTCTCTGACGGCTGAAATGATAATATGATACCAACAGTTGCCCCTTTTATCTACATGAAGTGATTCTAGAGGTGAAGAATGGGTTCGCCACGCACAGATATATATAATCCAGAGGTCCAGCGAAACGCCTGCGCCCCGGCTCCCCGTCCCCAGCAGCTGAGCTGCTCTCTGGGGTTAATGTATTAAATATATGGGGATCTCCCTGAGTCCAACAGCCTCTCCCTCGAGGCCCCAGCTGCAAGCTCCCCCCCCCCCCCCCCCAGCGGTTTTCCCAGCTCGCGCAACACATGCCCCCCCATCAGCTACCGCCCACGTTCTTGGTATATGTGATCTTCTCCACGTTCACGCTCTCCACGCCATTCGCATCCTTCCTCAATTGATACACGTACAGCGTCAAGCCGATGCCCTGGACCTAAAAAATTGCACACTCATCATCAGCATCAGCATCTTTACCCGGACTTCTTCTTCTATCTCCCCCAACACGACGTCGTTCCTTTCCCCTCTTTCAGAAAGCCACCACACACGCGCGGGGTACTTACATCCATCAAACAAAAGCTCGGGACCATTTCCTCTCCGGGGGCCACCCAGCCCGTCGTAAAAGCACCCGTCGCACTGCCAGGGTTCACAAAGAACTTATTCTCGTACTCGTACGCATCGAAGCGATGCGTGCCGCCCCAGCACAGCACGTCGACATCCATCTTGTTGGCCTCGGCCACCATGAGGTCCATCTCCATGGGCGCGACGGTGGTGAAGCCCTCTAGGAAGCCGATGCGCAGCGAGCCGTGCGTCACGACTTGGGCGAGCGGCAGCGAGGTCGCGTCGCTGTCGAAGCGGCCCTTGGTGATCTTGAGATCGGGGGAGATGGTGCGGAGGTAGTCGTAGGTCGCCTTGTCGGTGAGGTTTCCGAGACATAATGTCTGCCCGATTTTCCCTGGAGTGAGGAGTTTCTTGAACTGTGAGGAAGGGGGGAGGTTAGTGCTATATGCATTGTGTGTATATGCATTGTGTGAGTATGTGTGGAGGGTGGTGATGGTGGTGGGGGGGGAGGGGGAGGGGATAGGAGGCAGAGGACAGGTACCTTGGCTGGGATATCGAGAGCGCGGTCGGGGATATGGAGATCCCCGAGGACGAGAACGAGGCGGGATGTCATGGTGCGTCGTCTGTGGGGGAAGAGAGTTCGCACGGTTTAGCACCGACTCATAAGGGGTGGATGTTCGAAGTTGGGGTTCGTCGCGCTCCTCGTCCCTCAATCTCAATGCATGGGGCGTGCAGCAGCCGCAGAGCTGTCGTCGAGGCGCGGAACGGAGGCTCGGAGCTTGTTGGCGAGGCTCCGGGTTACTACACGCTTGACGCTCACAAAAGTATAGTACGATTAGGAATATGATGGCTGAATGTTAAGGGATTATTGGAGGGGAATTTAATCTATACGGTACAGACAATGTATCAAGACTCAGGAGTCGTTGAATAACCTGATCCTTACATAAGATGGTCTACCCCTAAACTGGACACCTCAATCAGGCACAGTAGGTCACGTGGTTAAGCAGTATGCTCAATCAGGAGTTCAAGGTAGCACGCTCCGTGGTCTCGAGGTATTGTATCTTAAGTATGATAGCAATGTGATCGCATCCTAAGATTTGTCTCTGCAATCCAGTGGATTCCATGTGATGTTGCCTAGTTGGTTCTTGCATGAGCCCAGGATCAAGAATCCTGACACTTTCATATGCGCCCTCAACTCCAAAAGCCTGTCTGGATTCAAAAGCTCCCATCCTCTCAGAGAGTACTCCCGTTTCTCAACTGCCAAAGTATTATACCTTATTTCCAGCGTTTCTTCTGGTAATCAAGAAGATGGACTCTTTGAGCAATGCTTCCGAGAAGCCCGTCTGCTCTGAACACATGATTTGGCACCATATTGTTTGATATACCTGTTCTATTGTCCATGTAGATTACAAGGACATCTGCCCTCCCCGCACCTGGCTGATTAAGGAGGCACTAAGATAGTCAGTGAAAGGTACCTTATAATATGGACAATTGGAGTCCGAGAGGACTTTGTTTCCCGGCAGATTTTTTGGAGAGCAGTACCCCTGAAGACGTTGCCAAGGAACGTAAAGTGTAACTGGGCGAGTCACGAAACATAACGCTCTTCTGCCGATAAGTCGATGATCCTGCTCATCCATGGCAACCAGCCCTTCTGTCCTAGACCGGTGGGACACCTCCCCCTCGCGTGTACTCATGCACCATTACGGCCTCCGTTGAACACGACACAACCACTCATTGCCCGGCGATACGAGTGCCTTGACAGCATACAGCATCCGTCGAGCAACATGCCAAACCTCGAAACGTCTGCCGTAGGCCTCGTATGATGGTGATACAAACTCCCCTGCCCCCCCACACGGTCGGTTATCCATTGCCGGACGCGAAACTGTGATGTCGTTTCGGCATATCTGCCAGCCCCACAGGTCATGCCACATGCGGGTGCCCGTACGGTGGAACAGGGAGCCTCGAGCATGATGGATGATGACTTGGGGGCATGGCTGTCCCTGGACTCACGTGAAGACCGTACGCAGCTATGCAGTGCCTGCTCCTTGCCTGCACCCTTCCAGATCAGGCCATTCGGGGGCGAATCATGGGACACCTGCATAGGTAAGGTAAGGTAGGTATGTGCGAGAACAAGGCCGGCCCCCACGGGACCACAGATTCGAGCATCCCTATGAAACGTTCAAACATAACATGAGGTATGTATGTACCTGGAAGAAAGCAGCCTGATTACGCTGCAGCACGAGGATGCCCAAAAACAGCACTTGCAGGAAAAGGCACCCTCAACGGCCGGAGGACTACTCCGTAAGCAGGGCTGGCCTCCTCTTCTACCTGAACGCAAGCCCGACCTCAGACCTTCAGAAGACATCAGAAACTGAGAAAAGAAACAAACCGTACCAATACGAGGCACGTATCCGAAGCCACCAAGCTCAGACCAGGCGATCTGCTCCCTTCGCGTCCCTTCGCGTCCCCTTCTCTCTACTTCCCAGGGCCCGATTCGGGCTCGGTGCGTACGGGAGAGAGGTTCCAACCAACAACAACAACAACAACACGGCATGAAAAAAAAAGCAACCCTTCCTTTTGTTTCTCTCCCCCCACCGAAGCCGAGCGAGAGACGGCCTAGGATTCCCGCATGTCGGAGATGGCGAGTCGTGTAGTGTCGCACAACAGCTGTCAAGCCCGTCGAACTATTATTTCCTTGGTCTCGCCAGGATGTGGGGAAGGTGTAAGGAAGAGGAAACGGGCGAAAAAATTCTTCCTTCACGAAAAGACCTTTTTGTCTCGGATCGCTTGAAGCGGGTTGGAAGAGGTGGAAAATTGGAAAAATTGGAGAAAATTCTTGAGAGACATGCTTTCGACCAGGGGTTGACAGGCGCCACGGAGGGCGGTAGCACCCGTCAGCCTCATCTGGATCGGCATCGGCCGCGATCAAACCACGGTGGGGCTTCAAAGAGAAGGAGAAAAAAAGGGGGGGAAAGAGGAGTACACTATTGGCTTCGGTGTGAAAGTCCATGGAGTTCTATGTAACGTGTAAATAGATGGATGGATAGATAAATAAATAATAATAGTAATAAAATAAATAAATAAATAAATCTTTGCAACAAAGGCAAGAAAATCCTTTTCCTCTCCAATAGTAGTGCCAGGATTCGTTGTCAAAGATCGACATGGCCTCCCGCACGGCTGCGACGCGATGGTAGTACCTGGGTCCTGAGGTTCCTACCACAAAGACCAGAGCAGAGAGTCATGTACATGACCCTGAAACGAAGAATTTTTTTCTTTCCTTTTTCCCAATAATCAATGCGCGCTCGCTCTCTGCCATATCTCGATGATGAAAGGAGGGTCTTCTTGGACGAATGAGAAATTTTCACAATGCCGATTATGATCCCTGTGCGCAATTGTTATTGCTGGATGAGACAAAAGCCAAGGCAGAGCAGGATATGGATGATGATGATGGTTCTTGATGATACGTGTATCACCACGAGCCAATGCCTCTCTTCGAAGTTCCCACTCGCTGTTTCGCCCCTCGCCTCAATCACGACGCAGCCAGGGTCTTCTCTCTTTTCGTGTCCTTTCTTTGCTTTTTCTTTGCTTTTTTCTTTGCCTTACCCTTCTTTCCTTTTTTTGGTCATTGCCATTCCATTCCTTTTGTTCCCCTCTGCCCTGAAAGTTCTGGGCCAGGAACAAGAAAGACATGGGGCAATGGCTCGGTTGCGCTATACCCCGGTGGGCGCCCAGCATTCCCTGCATCTACGGTCCCCCGTACCATTTGAACTTGCACTCCAGCTTCTGCAATAATAACAGGAACATGTTATCATGAAGTCATACTTGACCACTTCACTTCATTCCACTTGATCCAGTGCATCCAGTGCATCCATCCATCCATCCATCCATCCAACTCCCTCTCTGCAGATATCCGGACTCCATAGTACCAATAGTAATCAACAATCCTGAGGCCAAAAATCCCCTCAATTCCCTCAATCCCCTCGCCGATCCCCGATCATTGCGCAATCCCTCCCTCACCCCTCATCCAACCAAGCTCCCGCACCCACACAACCACACGTTACGTTGCGCGACTTTTCTGGTACCAGCCAGCCTTCTTTCTTTCTTTCTTTCTTGCTTCGCGCGCAATTAAAAAAAAGGCCCATACCTTAGGTACCTTACCTATCTTACCTTAGGCACCTACCTACCTACCTACCTAAATCAGGGTTTTGCCTTTCTTTTCTTTTTTTTCGCTTTTTCCCCGGTCTTTTTTTCCCTGCTCTTTTTGCGGGGTAGTAGTAGTAGGTAGGGCGAGATTTTCAACTCGCCGCAGGCTGGCTGTGCTACCTTATGCTGCGCGCCAGAGGCGAAAAGAAAAAAAATTCGTTCTTCGCCGCCCGCCTACCTTTACCTAAGCCTTAGATCCCTTTTCAAAGGCCCAAAGAAAAAGTTATTTGGTAGGTACCTAGGTAGGTACCTTAGGTAAGAATAATAAATGGAAGGATAATAGAAACCAGCTTGTATTGAGATACCTTGTGAACTATGCACAAGTAAGTAAGAAGAGGAGCAGAGCAAAGCCATTCGGACCCACCCAAACACACCAACCCAAACATCCTATTCGCTCCCTCCCCCTCCCCCCTCCCCCCTCCCCCCGGTTTCCCCGCATTCATTCATTCATATTCCCCCAGAAACCAAAAAAAGGAACCAAAACGTAAAGGAACTGCGGCTTTTAACATACCTACCTTACCTTACATGATATACATACCTACATGTGCCCATTCTGGTTCCTAGCGATTTTAGTTAGTTAGTTAAGAGATACCTACCTAATGTTTTAGTTAGAAACTTACCTAGACCATAGTTTTGCTTGTGTAATGATAATCAATGAATGAATGAATGAAACCAGATAGGGGCGGAGAACTCGGAGAAGAATCCCCCCCCTCCCCTCCCCTTTTCCGCCCCCGCATTTTCTTTTGCGTGTGGAGTGAGTGGCCCTGGTCTGATGTGCAATTTTTAGTTAGTTGGGTGATTATTATGGGAGAGAGGGGGGGAGGGGCGAATGGAGAGACATTCTGGGGGATGGATGGATGGATGTCAAGGCCGGGGGGCCCGGTAACCGGATACCGGCTACCTCTGGGGCTGGCTGGTGCTACGAGGTGGTGTTACGAGACGGGGAGGGGGAGGGGGAGAGGGAGGGACGGAGGAGAAACGGTCGCTGTGTGCTAGGGGGTCACAAGAGAGCACAGACAAGGAAGGCAGAGCGAGATTTGTTTGTGTGAGTTGGAAGACTCGGAGTCCCGTCTGTTCGACGAGACTCGGTGATGATCATTTTGCTATTCTAAAGCTCGTCCGGCCTCAAGTCGCCCTCGACGGGCGGGCCTTCGCGGCTAATCAGATTAAATGTGACTTGAGAGTCATTCAACCCAAAACTGATGTGCCATAAGCTGGCGCACTGCTGACAACATCGAAGCTTCGTAGAGCCAGAATAAGAGAAGTGTGTGTCATCCAAGCGCCCCCCAATTCCTAACCCGAACCCAACGATGATACCCGGATTCCCTCCATGCTAAAACAATGCCCTACTGAGTGTGAAGAGAAAAGAAAACCCGGAGCCTGTCCCAATTTGCGAATAGTGTTCCCCCTGCCCCCGATGCTCCAATGCTGTAAAGGAAATTTTTCTATGCCCAAGACGAGATGAGAGGATTGTGATGTATGCTCCAGAATATGCTTTTTGTTACAACATCCGCCGATGATCGTATAGTGAGAAACGCCGGTCCCTTTGAGAGGAGGTATGGGTATTGTAATCGTATCGTAACAGGAAAGTCTGTGGAAAACGCCGAGAAATGCTGAGGTGCGAGGACTGATTGATGTCGATTTGAGGTACAAAGGAAAGAAGAATGGTTTTTTTAATGAGTAGACTGGCGTCTCGAATAGCGAGACTGGTCGAAAGAGCTGGCGTACGCCCTTAATGCCTTCCTCGACTCATCGGAGAGCTGGGCTGGTTCCGAGGCCGTGGAGGTCGAGCTCTGCATCGAGAAGAGACTTGATTGGGAACTCGAAGGGGTCAAGGCGCCCCTCGAGGCAAAGGGCACAGGAGATGATTGCGGTCGTGAGGGTTGGTAGAAATCGAGGGACCGTGAAGGAGTTGTGCCATAGGGTTGTGCCTTGCTGAAGTTGTATGCTGGCTCCATGTAGAAGCCATTGTTCGACGATCTTGTGGGCCACGAAACGGGACCGCGAGGGAGGATGGGAGAGGATGCTGCAGAGCCTGCCGACGAGGCCTTCTCGTACTCTGCCAGACGGCAGGCTTCAGAGCAGTAGACGTTGCCGTCCGTCTGCTTGTCGCAGGCGAGGCAGAAGTCGGGGGACCAATCCATATCGAAAGACATTGTGTAATTATGTGTGTTGTTGAAAATTTCGGTGGGAGGATCGAGGGGTGAAGAAGCACTGGCAAGGCGACACCTTCAAAGGGCGATGTGGAAGTTTTTAATTTGTTTATTGAAATAGGACCTCAGCAGGCAGAGAAATGAGGCCTTTGCGTAGAATTATGTCGTATGCTATGCGGGTTTTCGGTGAGCAAGGCCTGTGACTCAGGAAGTGGAGCCGGAGAGTGGGCCGGCGATGATGCTGAGGCGTGTGGGAAGCGGATTCGTGCGAAGCGGGCGGGCTATGGCGGATTGATTGCTGGAGTATTGGATGACAGTGACAGATGACACCAGTGATGCTCTAATTGTGGGAGCCGATGGTGTGATGGATGGCTAAGGTAGTGATGATGAGGAAGAGAATAAGAGGAAGAGAAGGAAGAAGAGTAAGAAGAAGAGGATGATGGATGGATGGATGGATGGATGGTATCATATACCCTCTCTTCAACGTCTTCAATGTCAATGGGGAGGGTGGATGCTCTAAGAAGGCAGAGGCAAGAGGGGGGGGGGGGCAGCCAAATATAGGAAGTAGTTGAGTTGAGTTGAGTGAGAAGAGGAGGGTCATATACGTATGCAAGGATCTTGGTATGGGATAATGGAGGGTACATGGTATAGGTAGTGCGGGTGGGCAGATGGGCAGATGGGCAGATGTACACGCAGATGGGATGTACACGATGTACAGTACACGACAAGGGACAGTAGCAGCAGGCGCAGAAGAATTATGGGCCTGACGATTCCTGGCGCAAATATGCAAATATGCCTGGGGCCCGGCCTGGGTCCTGCAGATGCACGCTTACGACTTGGGACTAGCGGAAAAGGAAAATGAAAACTGCGTGGAGGGTGCAGATGGTGTGCGGTGGTCGGCGCCAGGCCGTTTCGGGCAGCGCGGCGTGGGAGCCACAGAGCGTCAGACAGGCATGTCACGGGGGCCGATGATTGGCCCCCCTGTGCGCAGTCATTCAATGCCTCATCGATGTTGGATGTGGTCGTGTAGTGGTGGTGGGGGGGGGGGGGGGCCTGCTTTCCATGATTATTTCCATTTCCATTTCCCTTCTCCCTCTCGTGCCCGTGACGCCTGATCATTGGCCGCATTCCGCTCAACAGCACGGATCATCCACCGAGTACACCATCATCCAGCCGGATCAACAGCGTCGTCGTCCTCCCTCCCACGGATTGCTGGATCACGGCACCCATCTTCCATCCCACATCATCCCTCGTCCGCATATGTAGATTTCCCCCCCCCCCCCTCCTCTGTAGAAGCCCGAAAACAAAGGGCACTAGTAGCACACTCGTCGCATCGTACAGTCGCAGCGCCATCGTCATCGTCATGGGCTCTTTCGTTACCACTAGCCCTGAAACTGGTTAGCGTCAGCGTTTCCCGCACCCTGGACTCCCTGCTCTCTGTGCGGCTAGCGAGAAAACGGCCGCTGGCGAACGCATCATGGCCTTGCTTCTCAGGCACTGACTGCGTATGAGCCCGTGGCCCCGTATGAAGCAGTGTGGTCGACTACTGTTGTATTACTGTATTACTCTCTACTACTGTATGTAGGTCCTGCACTGCACCACCGGAGGACGGCCGCCCTCGTCTCATCTGCCTGCTGCAAGTGTCTCGCACTGAGAGCAGCGCAGGCGTCGAACCAGTAACCACTCTTTCATGTCTCCATGCCTCATGCCCTCCCTCATGCCCTCATGCCCTAACGCCCTAACCAGACTCGCCTTTTGGCAGCATCAGTGTCCCCCCCCGTGCGTGTACAGAGCGCACACCACCCCACGCCGCCGCTCATTGGCTGCTGGCCCCTCTGGCGCTATCCCTTTCGCAGACCAACATGCATCGACGCCTGCGCGGGCTTGCCCTACATGCCGCGCTAGGCCCGAAGCCGCCTAGGCCGGTCTCGAAGTACCCCTCACTCCGGCGACTCACGGCGCCCGCTCGACTATTGACGGGGCCTATCGTCTCCCGTTCGCTTCTTTCCGCTGGGATCTTCAACGATCCTGTCCATCCCGGCCATCCTGACCCATCCTGAACCACTCGACGATGCCCACCAGTCAAGGGAGCAGGAGACGAGAAGATACTCCATTGGACGGATCATCTGCCTGCCCCCCCAAAATGCGCATTCCCTCTTCCAGCTACAGAGCCAAGTCATCGGGTTTTCTGGCTTCCTTCACCACGACGCTGTACGGAGCAGAGGTACGTACTGGTCGTAGTGATATGGCTCTGTACTGTAGCAGCAGCACTGACAGGACAGATATGGGGGCCAGCAGGGCAACGCTACCCTATCGTCCTATGCAGGCACCAGGAGGCCAAGACCCAAAATGCTCCGAGACGAGGGAAAATTGACAGGAGGAGGGCCTCAGGTGTTCCGTATCCTCAGACATGCCTCACGTACGCTCGTAGTACTGTACCTCTGGCCCTTCGCCAGCGGCCGCATGTTGTTTCAGTGCCGAGCGATCATGGATTGTGCACTATGGATTGTGGATTGTGGATTGTGGATTGTGGGTTATGAATTGCGAAATTTATGATTCTCATACATGGTCCGCACATCGTCATACCATCAGCGCGCGGCTCCAAGCTCCCATCAACAGCCCATCTCGGATCTCCACTGCTGCTACTGTAGGAGCGCTCGACTGCTCAGTCTAACCCGCAATGTCGATGATTCCCCCCCTCGAGTAGCCCGAGCAGCCCGGATAGCCCGAACAGCCTGCATGGCCTTAGCAGGCTCTTTGCCGCCTCCCAGGCTCCCAGGCTTCAAAGGGCCTGTACATATACCGGAGGAGGCTGTGGCTGGAGCCTGTACAAAGGGACGTCGCTGTAAGGCAGTCCTGCGGGTGTGTGGTACGGTCCTGCCCAGGTACACAGCACCCCGTCCGCTTCTAAAAATTGCTGCGCGTCTACTCTCGTAGGTGCCCGCCATGTCCCAGACCTTGCGTCGTACGACACTGCTTGGCGCCTTTGCTCATCTCCCAGATTCCCACAACACAGCAAGTCAAACGAGACAAACAGGTCAAACTTCAAACCGCTCCAGAGGGCTAGGGCAGGAGGACTACGTAAGGCCAGAATTCCAAATTTGGCAGGCAGGGGCGGCACGGTCCAGCGTCTGAGACGGGCCCGGTAGGCTGATTATACGAGCCAGCAAGAATGCGGCGGCAAGGAGAAAATCATCTACAAAGAAAATTCCTGAAAACCCTCTTGGAAAGGAACGCTACAAAGTCGGAGATTAAACGCGCTAAAAGATGATTTACCTCGATCCCTGCACTCTCCTACCAGACCAATCATGCGAGGCCGCGCCCTGGCGAAGATCAAGATCGCGAACGTGCCGCAACGGTTGAAAGCCAGAAATTCACGACGGCCAGCGCGGCGAAACGTCGAGTGCCTGAGCGAAATGCCAGCCGTGCGCCCTGTGATTCGCCCGTGCCTGACAGGTGGTGGTCGTCTCACGCGCCGTGATTGGGAGGTCAGTCGATACTCTACGAGAACCCCGTGAACATCATGCACTACTTGCAACTCCCGAGGAAGGAATTGGCGATTCCATGGAGGATGAAACTGTAATTCCTGATGCAAAGACCCTCCTCACCAGACAGAGCGCTGCGACAAAAGCCACCAGGCCGTTGTCTGTATGATGAATACGCCATCGCCCCGCGCCAACGGTCGAGCGTCGCGAGAATAGATTATGCAGTTTAATGTCTCTAAATCTGCCTACCCGTCGTCGAGGCGCAGACCTAGGCCCTCGTCTACTCAAGGCGGCTGTCTGTGGGCATGGCTAGAAGGCTCACAGACGTCGAGCTAAGTCAACAAACGATCGTCTCTCCGGTTCTATTTACATTCGTCACCTATTCTTCACGGGCCGTCGAACTGTCATGTTGCGATCGCTCCGGCAGCATCGTTCCCGATGGCCCAAGGAGGGATACTCCCGAGTCCCGTCGTCTACTCTGCCTACGAACGGAATGATCGCGGCGACTATTGATTGAAGGTCTCAGAGCGCCGAGCGGCTTCCTATTCTCGGTTGGCCTCAGCCCTGCTCGGGCACTTCTCGTACCGTGCCGTGTCTTGACCATAGAAGCTGAGAAACAATGATCAATAGGCATTCAGCTGGTAGTCTGACCATGAGGCGCCAGAAAGATCCCCCCTTTTCTTTTTTCCACCCCTTCCCTCTCCTCCCCATCTCTCTACTCTGTGCTTCGTAAAATCACGCGAGATGATCGCTATCCAGTGTTGTGACTACTGTCAGCTGCCATAAGCACTATCAGACAAGGTCTCATAATGGCTGTACGATGACGACGCGTGGGAGGGCGCCTGTTCTATTATTGGCGGGTGTATACTACCACAATATCTCGCACGGACAGCTCGGCATCAATCCCTCCGTCTGTCAACGGATATCCAGTTTCGGCTTCGAGTGGCCACTGCGGAGGACCTTTGTACAGTAGTCTGTATGAAGGCGTGTACACTGTATGCACTCCAGACGAGAAAGAAACGGCTTCCGTCTGTCCTATCTTTCGCAACCCGCCAACCGATTCTTCCAGAGCAGAACGTGCAGGACTGGATATCGAGGCTAAAGCAGCGAGCAGGGGGCGGTCCGCCCATAGTGGCATGATGGTGGGCATGGTTAGCGATCGGCCACCTTTATTTTATGGATACCACTCTCGGGAGTGTTTGAGCTTCGAGCGTGGATAATTTGAGTTTCTTTTTTTTTTTTTTCGCGCGCCTCCCTATTTTGCCGCGCGAATTTCAGGAGAACCCTCCGGGTCCACCACGAGTACAGTAAGATGGAGAGCAAGGGCTCAAGGAGGGGTCCTGGAGCACCGTGCAATGCTTGATTTGACGCTCGTCCTGGATCTTCTCTCTGATCTCTGCCCGTCCGCGTAGTTGACAGTGGCTATCAATTTTCTGTCATTTATTTGTAACCCGCACACGTCCATGCCCAGCCTCGTCAATTTGCCTGAGACCTAAGGTACCCACCTCACTTCCTTCCTCACGATAAGAACGTCGAAGCGATACTCCAGAGATACGGCATTGCCCTCAGACACATGGCGCCATGACGGAAGTGGCCTAGTGACGGGCCCCTCATCGGGTGGTTTCTCTCTGGTTTCCCTCCTTCCCCACCACGGGCCCCACTCCTCAGCTGCAAACACACAGACGTTAATATGACGAACAGGTCTCGCTAATCTGATGGAAAAGGCCTACGCGCTGTTCATTGGCTGGAAGTCAGATGTGGTGGGCTAGCGTCGTCCTGTATATTTCCATGAGCAGGGCATATGTCTTTATGCAAGTACTTTATGTACCTTCCCCCCTTGTATACGCGATGCACAACTGCACAACTGCACAACTACCGTACCCGCGCTATCCACGATCAAAGTGCTCTTCCCAGACTGCCCCCCACGCGCTCATCCATCCATGGAATTGATTCCATCCCATCCACCATCCATACTTCACTCAAATCTGCAATGCCATGGGCGCCCAAAGCGGACCCCTCCGCCCTCCCGATCAGACCATCAGCACTGTATCTTCGTACTCCACTCCTCCCTCTCCACCATTCCCAACTCTTATCTGCCCATTTCCAGCCAACCGCTGCATCAATAAGACCTCCGAGGTACATGTCCCTATCTACAAGACAATGGTCCCCCCTTTCATATCTTCCCACAATCTCCCTCTTGTCTCTCCGTCCGGCTTGTCTCGGATGGCGTCGGATACACCCAGCCCTCTCTGTCTGCTGTGCGTCTAGCGCTCGTCGTGTGATTGGATGCCAGGACTGGACGTCTTGGGATGAATGCGGGGAGAGCGCCAGGGAAGGGGAGGTAGGTGCGGGTGCATGATTCGCTGTGAACTCGAGTGGGTTCATAACAACACCTTTCTTCTGTTGTTGTTTATTTCCTTTCTTTGCCCGCCCGCCACGCTGGTATCTCTTCTCATTTGCTCACGAGAGATGACAGGAGTCAGGTTGACCCGTGTGAGGTGGCATCGGGCGCTGACACTGTCGCATTTTCCAATGGATTGGATACCAAGCAGCGGGGTCTGAAAAGTCTGCAGAGGAAGAACCCATCCTCTGGGTGCTCTCACCAACTGGAGAATCAAGTCTTATCATGAAGCCTTGGCTATAGCGAGGGCAGGATCTTCAATAATTTTGCTGTCTTGCGCTCCTGCTCTATGTCTCACAGTCCTGTCTTCGTTTGAGACTGTCAGAGATACATACGGGCAGGCATCTCTCTTGGTAGATGCAACAGGACGAAGTGTTGGCATCTCGGCAAGTGCCTATAGCAATGCGAGAATGAAACAAAGATTGTCTCCCCTCTTCAAAGAGAATTCTATCACATTTTCCCCCCGCATTTCCTCGAGTCCCTCACATTGTCGTGTCAGAGGCGTCCCCAATATCCCAATCATCATGGTCACGCTCCCACGTGGTTTTACCCGTTATCTTTCTCTTCTTTCCACTCGGGTGGCCTTGCGCAGAGACGTCCCGCCTCTCCGGCTGCATGACCATCGCACAGTGATGCTCGGGATTGTTGGATCAAAATCCTCGGGAGCTGCGGGGTAATGTCTCTTTCTGTCGACTCCTTATCCGGCTGGGAGTCTTGAATCGCCCTCAACATGTGAACGAGGTATCCAAATAGAGCACGACAGAAATTCCATGCCCTGGACCTGCAAGTGCGAGCGTCTTGTATCGCTGGCAAGAGTGCATTCAATCGCAACCCTGATATCCTTCCCAAATAAGCGAGCTCGTTTCAGGAAACCCCCCACCCGAAAAACCAATTCCAACAAACCGCCGAGAGCTTTGGATATAGAGATATGGGGTTGCATGGATATATATCACCGGCAGTCAGGTTCACAGCTTACCCGAGTCCCATCCCATCCCCTCATTCCCTGCTTTCTAACCCATGGATGATGGGTCCCAGCTACTGAGCACAGCAAGGAAGGACCTTGGGTTGGATATCTCTCGAGGATGGATTCGCTTCATTTAAGGATGTGCGTTGGTTCGCTCGCTCGCTGCATAGTAGAAACCCATTCATTATACAGTACATACATACCTCCGTATACTTTATATAAAACAATCCAATCCAATCAATCCAATCATGCATCTACAAATCTTCCAAACCCTCCCTCCCTCGCGCACGTCACCCAGAGAAATCAATTATAATGCATCCAACATACCACATCAACGACATTCTTTGTTTCGTCTCCCTGTAGTTAAACAAAGAATAAATGATATCTATCTATCTACAAACTATTCCCCCCCCCCCTTTCATATCATCCCAACCCAAACCAAAACAACAATCTCTCCAACCCACCTTCTCATGCATAACAATATCAGTATTTCATATATTTAGTCTAGAATAGAGATTTTTTAGTAGGGAACTCGCTTACTTATTTGTTTGTTCTTCTGTTTTGGATTTTTTTTGATGGGTTTTTCTTTGTTGTTG